TATTAATCATGTCAAATTTTATCCATTCGACGGTCCCATAGAACGTACTCTTAGACAAGAGTGGTCAAAAGCAGATAACTTAATATCCTCTACTTTCATCGGCCATACCTCGCAGCTATTTAGGAAGATTGAGCAAATTGCAACTATGTCGCTATGCGCACTTTCGCTTTTATGGTAATTTCGCCATAAAAATTTCGTCAACCGGAAGAATTTTCTGTTTAATTAATTAATTTATATTTACCGTTATCATGGTTGTAATTCTATCTTTTGCCTAGTAATTAGAGTAGATCCAAGATGTTTAAAATAGACCACATCCTCACCTGGCAGTGAGTTGATAAAAAAAGGTATTCACCTTCTTTTATAAAAAAAGCTTTCGTTTTATTTACATTGATTTTGAGTACAATTCCTGCAGTTGTTGGCTTATTGCTTAACATTATTTGCATTTCCTCCGAAATAAGATAACCGTATCGATTTACTTTCGATTAAAGCGATCATAAGCCATACGATCGTTAACCGATTTCCACTCAATCTGAGTGAGACAGAAATGACAATTGCCATTTCGCCCTGTAATTAAAGACCGAAATGATGAAGAATGGACCTCCGACAAGCAGGCGACATCCACCGATATTTAGAAAGAGAGGACAATTATCACTTGGCTTGCAATATCCATAATTGAATTTGTTGAAGCCTATCTGTAAGACCAAGCTGAGGGATAGGATGGCTTAGTTGCTCAATTTGGACTAGCGATACTAAGAAAATCCGGGTGGTGCTGGCGACTTACCTGTATTTCTATCGCCATGGGGAGAAATATAGCAAAATATTATTTCTTATTGCATAACATATAAATAAAAAAGTTTTAGCGCTCATTCAACATGAAAATGCTTTTAAAATGTGAAAGATTGGGGGATAAGATGGCCAAGTGGTATGTCATTTCAGTAAAGTTAGATCAGTATAATTTCAGTTTAATGCTCAGGAGAAAAGTTTCTTTACATTATTCCTTATTTAGAATATTTAAAAAAAACTTCACTTATGTATTATCTCTTAACCGCTTAATTTGGTCCAATTATTCCTGCAAACCAAATATTTTTTCGTCTTGAGCAAGAACTAAGATTGATAAATTTATTGTACTATTTGATTTTATTGAGCAAATTAACTGAAAGTAAACATTGATAAGAAGAAGCCAATCGACGAATTTTCGATATAATTAAAAACCAAAGAATATTTTATCATAAAAGCGACTTAATCTCTCGAATGACAAGTAATCAAGATTTTTCTTCGATGTCAATTTTTCAGAAATTTAACTAACATATTACATGTTAAATTCAAAAAATGCCAACCGTCACGGCATATCTCAAATATCGATGGATATCGCACTGTAAAAGCGTAAAGTATATTAATCCTTGCAAATACGATCAACATTATTCTTCAGCAGGAAAATATTAACAAATGAAAACGCTTTTAAAATATGAAAAGTTGGGGGATAGGATAGCCGAGTGGTATATCATTTCAATAAAGATAAACCACTATAATTTCAATTTTTATTTTCTTTGTAAGGCGAAAGGTTTCTTTACAAATGTGCTGCGAGTGTTGCTGAAGATTCAGCTGTACGTTAAATAATCTTCTGCTAATCCCAGCATTGGAGCTAAGCAAACCAGAAACAATTTTAGAAGAAGAAGAAAAAGAATGATTTTAGTTATTATTTGCTGACTATCCAGATTAATGAATAATAAATAAGTGTAATATTATGTTATTTATCTAGCTGATTGCACTTTTATACATATATACATATGCATATATATAAGAGGAATAGAGTAATGATTAAGCCTGGTGATAAATATGGAATGTTGCAACAACTGTTCAAATCGCAGCCATCTCTCAACTTTTTAGGTGAGGATCCTTAGGCAAGAACATCTGAAAGCTTATGTGCTTGCTTGCTTTACCTTAATCTTCCAGGCCTCTGGTAAAGGACTCGAGATTGAAGGTGATCAATACCATTCAAAGAATGTAAAGGAGATTTTTTTGTATATATTTTGTTAACCGGAAACAATCAAATAAGACTTTGAGATTTAATAAAGAGCCAAGAAAAAAAAAATCATAAAGAGAAAAACGTTTATGCGATTCATAATTGTAATTATTTTTGGGAAAAAAAATTTAAAAATCAAAGGAAATAAACATTATTTTCCATCATTATCACTAATCTTTATTCTAATTTCTTATCAAGAAAATTAATTAAATAGGATTAGTTGTTTAAACAAAATTTTTCATGTAAAAATATTGGCCAGCGAAAAAGAATTGCCAGTGTTAAGAAATGTTTGCAGCGATTCTCGTTTTCTTCAATATAGTAGTGACAGTCTATTCCGAATCTCCTATTAATTTGCCCGATTCTCCTGACAATGATGTGGTCCAATATTCCGGATATTTAGATTTCGACAACAACCAAGTTCATTATATGTATGAACTTTATTCATCAAATGTTATAATATAAGCAGCATAAGAACTATTTTTTAATTATCCTATTAAAACCTTTTTCACTTATTCATAAAAAATATTTTAGATTTTTTTTGCAGTAATGCAAACAGATAAAAATTTTATAGCAAATCATAAAATAGAAAAGGATTCTGCTAAAAAAACTGTATAGAAGGAAATGAAGGAAAATTCAGGTTTGTTTTGGCCGAAAATGATTCCAGTTCCAGTCCAGTCTTGGTTTGGCTGGGCAGTTCCCCAGGATGTTCTTTACTCTATCATTATTTTGAATTTTTGGGCCCATATATCATTGATACAAATTCAAACGGTTCATTGGTGCGAAATAATAATGCATGGAGTAAAATCGGTAATCTGTTGGTCATTGATAATTCCATCAATGCAGGGTTATAATTTTTATCATTTATGGTACCTAATCATTATAAAATTCAGTTATTTTAAAATTCATTTTTGTAAAGTAAATATGCATAATCAAGCAACGTTCCATATTTCTTGTAAAAAGCTAATTATTGCATAAGTCCATATTTATTAAAATTATGTGTATGAAGCATCGACAAATTAGAATATAATTAGAGGGAATCGATTTGCAAATTTTGATTTCGCTGATTTTAAGCAAATAATCTTATAATTTTATCAAGCAGAGAACCTTCTAATAGGCTCATCCATAGATTATCATTGCTAAGGCATAGCAAAAATGATCAAATGTTTCAATTAATTAATGATATTTCGATAGATTCTCCTATGGTCGAACTGAAACGCCTAATGTGTACAGGAGGAGAGATCTCACTTACAAGGCACTTTTACGATTCTTTGAAATATTTCCACAATTCAAGGTCTGTTTCTATTCACCGATTTTTCGTTCCTTTATTTTATTATCACAAATTTTATTAAAGCGGTACATCATATTAAATATTGAATGGTTGATAGTGGTCAAATATCTCATGAATTCCTTACTCAGTAAGCTTATCAGTGCAGAAAATGATAAGACAAGTTATAATGAATTATTTCCATAATAACAATAAAACCAAGTATATTATATATTCAAATATAATTTCAGCAAAATGATTTATACATTGGTGGTTCCAGTGGTTCTAATCAATATGCACAAATTCTTTCCTTCAAAATCTTGGAAAATAAGATGAAAAATGAAATGAATTTAAAGGTGGAAAATTATTCTTTGATGACAATAAAATTTGGTATCGAAATATCCTCTTTTCTTCTTCTCCTTACATTCGTTTGTCATTACAATTTTTCATCCAAATTTTTAAAAATAAGAAAATAAGTAACATACAAGAGCGATAAAAATTGGTTTCAGGGATTGTTCTTCGGCAATGCTATCTTAGATTTAAATGAACTTACCACAGACCGAACAATATTTATGTATGGCCATGGCTTTCTTGATGAAAGGTGCAATAATTTAAATATAAAGATTCCTTTAAATTAGAAAAAGTAAATTTGACCATCATTTCACTATTTGAAATCGCAATATACTAAAATTTAAATGAAAATGAATAAAAGTTTTTGTAGACTTTATCAAATAGTACGTCAAAATTGCTGTAAGGGTGTGATGGAAGAATGCAATTTCCTTCAACCATTCGGAGACGAATTTTGTCGGAACGCCGCCTTTTATTTAACATCATCATTTTTGTAAGCTTGCAATTTTACTTCATTTGAGCATAGAGAGTGAAACCTATGTATGTATTACTGGCACGACTATACTCTTGCAAAATATCTCTTCTGATTATACCGATCCAAAGTTTTCACTGGGAATTTTCTTTTTAAGAGCGCTCACTACTGCTGATTAGGCTCGCTCCGCTGACTTGTGGGATTGGATAAATGTGCTAGGGAATCCCTTGGCAACAAAAGTAGAATCGTCAGCATCATCCGGATTTATGAAGATTTACTCATGCCGGAAGTAGAACCTCAGCATCGGCGCCCCGAATTGAGCAACTCACTGAGCCATTCCATCTCCTTTGCTTTCTCCCTTAGACTACACTTCGGCCCGATGAAGAGTGGTGCATTTGCATGATTTAAACCTCGATTCTCGGTTACTCTGCCAATGCACCAATAAATATTCTTATTATATGCGTTTAATTTCTTCATCCAGCATTTATCTAAATTTTAATTCCATTCCAAAACCTCATTATGTGCAGTGAATCTGAAAGAAAAATTCCATTTTTCGAAATATTTGACTTATTGAGCGAATTATTTGAAAGAATTTTTTGCTTATTGAATTTCGACAGAATAAATTTTCCTTTATAGGTTTATATTGGTATTAAATTAAATTAAATTAAAATTAAACGAATTAAAATTTAAGGGAATCCAGTTTAAATATTTATAATATGAATCAAAAATGTAAAAATAATTCTCAAATTACGAAAGCCATTCGCGACATTCGAAATAAAATTACGACGATCGCAGAATTTATGAACAGTTTTGCAGCGGTATTTGCCTTTTATATTCCTAAATTTATTCAAATAACTGATGAATAAAAAATCTTTGTATTTTATTTATTTATTTAAATTAAAAAAATATATTAAATATTTTAATATAATATTTAGAATTCTATATAATATTTAATATATAGAAATATTAACATAAATAAAATAAATATTAATAAAAATGAAATAAATAATATAAAAATATTAAATATTTTATTTTATTTATTTTATTTTATATATTTTATTTAAATTAAAAAAACAAAAAAATCTTATATTTTATATTTTTATTTACATTTTAATTGCCTCAAAGCCCATTAATCTCCCTAACATTTATTATATTTATATTTATTTATATTTTTATATTTTATATTTATATTTTATTTATTTCTCATTCACAAAAGCACAAAATATTTTTGATAGAATTTACAGCAAATGGATGTGGAATGCGTTGATGAAACTCCCTTTGCTTCATATTTAAATAGAGCTGATATTCGGCAAGCTTTAAATATACCGGAAAATGTGAAACCGTGGAATATGTGCAGGTGCAATTATTTTATTGCAGTGCAATCTATCTAGAGTAGTGGTTTCTTCCTTCTTTAATTTCTCCTATTAATAGCTCATACCTTTGCTGATTTGGTGAATTTCGTTGGTGGATTAAGGCGTTTAAGGTGCTTCCAAGCATCTCTGTTGGACTCCGCGCATGAAAATGACTGAAACCATTCTTTTTCCCGCAGTCTATGGTTTTAAAATGTTTTCACTTTCAAAATTTTTTTCTAAGCGTGCAGGTTGGTCCTCTTCGTTTTTGAAGCCATTCATTGTAGGGCTTAACGATTTGGATATAATTAAATCTTATAAGCATCCGATTTGTAAGATAAAAAGAGTTTCATAATATAATATCAGATATCAGATATAATATCAGATCCGATCTATCAGATATATCAGATCTAAGCCGTGTAAATAAGCGAATCTACTATACAGTTGGAAATTTTAGATAAGAAAAAGAAATCATGGTGTACACCAATTCATAAGCAGTGACTTTAAGCGATATTGCATTACCTTTCTTACCATGAAAATTTGATAAAATCACCTCATGTATTAAGTCCAGTTTATTTACGAAATGTGCAGTCATGCACCAAATCCATTCAGAAGGGCTGCGAAAATCTTTCCAGAAATATGCAGTAAATTAATTGCTCAGTAGTTGTCGCAGTGTTTATCACTCTTAGGAATTGAGTACGAGTCTGCCTTGTCCAAATTACTTGGAGATGAGCTGCGGCCGAAAAAATTTAATTTCCAATTCCTTTCGCTTATGAAAGTCTTTTCCGCATTTTCAATGTATAGATTTTTTAGTACGAAGAAAATAGTTTAAAAAATAAAAAATTAAAAAGGAAAATTTTTTCAGAATTGTAAATTATAATTCTTTGCTGCCGATAAGCAATTACTATGCGATGAAAATGGTTGTTAATTCTGGAATTCGTTTATTTTTTTACAGCGGTGATTCGTGCTTAATGGCACCTATGCTTCATTCACAAAAATTTGCTAGTAAACTCGGATTTGAGGTTAAAACACTCGTTGCTTTTAAATACTTTGATATATTTTTTGAAAGCATTTTAGGGATTTCTGAAAATAGTGCTTTTTACAACAGCTTATTTATTTATAGAGGTGTTTTTTACAGAAAACTTCTGCGAAAAAACCATTTTCTATAGAGAAAAATCGGGTAGCTGGTTATCATACACAATATGGCTTAATCGATTTAGTGACAATATTGGTAAGTCAGTCATAACCAATATATACCGCAATATGACGATGATTTACTTATTTTAAATGGTTCTTTTCCATCAATTTGCTTTTCTTCAATTCGCTTTTTACAGCGACGATTTAGCTAAATTAATTTTTCGAATTCAGAGAGCTGGTGTCTATGCAAAAGAAAGGCCTGCGGAGGCTTTGCATGCAATGAACGCATTTCTTAAAGGCGAAAAGCCATGAGAAGAAGACGAAATCTGTTCTTTTTCGCGAGAAATTTCTTGTTTTATGTTGAACAATTCAGTTGATAAAAATTCTATAGCGAAAATAAAAAATTTTTTGTTATGCATCTGTATATTATCAAATTATTTTGAAGCTGAAGCAAGCTTTTTCCTAAAACAAAAATATTTATATCGATGTTTCCAAAATACAGTAAAAATTATTTTGGTTGAAACTAGCTAAGGCACTCAGTTATCATTACATTAATCTCTTGCCATAAATAAAAATGTTATTTGCTTAAAAGTACCAAAAACTGAGTTTTGTTGGAAGTTGTTAAGATGTCAGTTAATTGGCCAAGTGATCAGTGAATTCTCAATAAATTATCAAGAAGCCTATTATAGTAACCAGTAACACAAATGAAAAAAATATTAAAAGACATTTGCAGTGGGGGAAATAAAAACACCACATTTATTGCTAAATCTAAGGAAGAATTCTTTCTCTTCTGACTCTTAAATCTATAGCTTTCAATTATTTATCCCTCAATAGTTCCAATCCAGCTCCCGAATAGCTCTGATATGCTGAGCGCCATAATATCATACATTATGAGTAATAATAGTAAAAAAAAAGGTAACTGATCAAAACTACAGCTGTTTCATGAAACTCTTTAAAATACTGAACTCTGGTTATTAAAAACGGAACTCAAATGGCGGTGAGAATCGTAATATAGCCAAGTAACTTTCTGTCGAAAATTTATGAATTCACCTATTCCAATGTTATTAAAATGGTATATGAAACAAATGATTTTCTAGAAGTGGAAAAAGCACTACCAGCAGCTAAATTTAGCATAATTGAGTGGTCAATAATTGAGTGCACAGTAAATGAGAGAATTGAGAGAGAATATTTAGATAAATGAGTTCATTCAAAAAATAAAATCTACATTATAATTCAAGCTCAAAAATTCATTATTGTGCGACATAATCGATATCATATCATCGACAACACTTACTCTCATTCATGTATTAGTCTTGAGGACATCACAGATCTTGAATATGCTGATGTAATAAAACCTGACAATTCCAAACTAATCAATACATTATTATTATTATTATTATCATTATTATTATCATTATTATTATTTATTATTTATTATTATTTATTATTTATTATTATTATTAATTATTATTATTATTATTATTAATTATGGTGTAGTATTTTTTGCCGGCATTTACGAAGAAATACAAGAGATGTCAGTTTCTGCTTCGGCAACCACAACAAAAATCGGCCTCAGAACCAATGTAAAAAAGATTAAACCATTTCATGCGATGAATGAAAATATATACTAAATATTTTCGACATATTCTCAAATTAATTGGCCAATAGAAAGACGAAACTGTAGTCCGAATAAGCGCTGCTAGAACGGCGTTCTTTCGTCTGGCTTCCTCTGCGAATTTGGCGTGAAATCACCATTCAAAGTTTATATCTATTTGGTTATAGTAGTTGTCGGAAAAAGCCGAAAGAATTTATTATAAAAAAACACTCTTTGACCAATTTACTCTTCACTTCGACCAATTTTTACGAAAATTTTTATGAAAGGGAACTTCGATCAATGATTTCTGTTAAACCGGAATTTAAAGCGAAAATCTCCTTTAAATTCGTCTCCTTGATCCAATTATTATCGTAATATATTGTTACTATAATATATAACGGTAAATAAAATTTTCCTTTTCGATTCAAGACGACTTTCACGACAGGAAATAATATTTCATTATACAGCTTGTGAAGATGGCCAATATAGTAAAAGAAAGTAAGATATTAAAAAAAGTACCTGATCAATTTGATAAACTAGAATTGTGCCACGAAAATTAGGGAAGATGATTTGAGTTGCTAATTTTGTTACCTTTGACCACTCATGTCTAAGGTATATTTCACAAGCTAGCTGAGCTAATAACATAAGTGACTCTTACATGTATCCTTAGCCTTCAATACTGCCTGAATTAACAATATAAAATAATAAAAGAATCGCCTACACTAATTAGCTTCTTCATCACTAGAATTGATACATAATTCGCTGTTTACTAAACGTTATGATGGAATCAAAAGTGAGGACCAATCTGGACCAGGAATGATATAAACAGAATATAAATATGACTTTGAATATATACGTGATCCAACAATATATGGGATTGAAATGGGAATGGCATGAGTGACATCAATAAGTCTCAAGGCACCAACGGCTTGGAAATCTTATAATTAACTGAGTCAAATGATCAGTAAAGATATGAGCTATCAGAAGAAGAAGAAGGAAAGGATAATGATGATGATGGTGACCAAGTGAATTTAAAGACCCACGAGTTAGCAAATCCAGCAGAGATGTTTTAATAAATCCATAAGCCACTTGAAACCAAACCATTATCGAATGATTAGAAAAAATTCATAGCATATTTATTATCGAATCAAATTAAATTAATTTTTCCGAAAGCAAAAAATTGTCACCAAACAGCACTAAGGACCGTGCCAGAAGAATTTTCGCACCTGGCTGCCTACAAATTTATAAAACTTTGATAATTCTTTGATAAAATAATAATTTCAAATATGATTTAAAATGATAGAAAAACGAAGAAGAGTTTTTTTGAAAAAAATAAAATGTGCCTTGAAGATTAAATATATAATTAAAAGAAAAATAGCATACAACAGGAAACTTGAAATCAACCCTGTTTAAATACTCAAGAGCAGAGTTAAAAAATAACATTTTTGTAAAAATACATAAAATATAAAATTGAAATAAGAGAAAATGAAAATAAAAAAAAATAAATTACCAAATTAGAATAAAAGCAATATTATGTTATATACCCGAAGCAAATAAACCCCATAAAATTAATTTTTTTCAATTAATAAAAAACTAATAAATCATAAAAAATAAATATGAAAAAAAATTTTTTTGTTCAAAATTGGATTTTAAAAAAGCGACAAAAAAAAGCAAAGAAATATTTTTAAAAAAATGCAAATTAAAATTTACCAATTTTCTGGAAAAGTGAATTTTGTATATTGCAAAGGCAAAAAATAATAATTTTTTCCTTAAAAAATAAAATAAATATACAAGTGAATGAGCATTTTTCATCAATCAAGCAAATAGACTGGAAAATCATCACAACATTGAAGGCATAGTGAAGGCTGAAGCAAACATTCAGAGTCTATCTTCTCGTTATTAAATTACTTCATCGCCTGCATAAACTTGAATTAACATGCCTAAATTTTCAGCTTGAAAGCTTATTCCATGTACAAATTTTCTAAGAAGGCAATTTTTGGAATCAAAATTGAACAAGGATAGACTCTAAAAATGTTAAAATAAATTAAATAAATTATACTTATTTTAAGAGACCTTTAATAAGAAATATATAGCAAATTATATATTAACACCTAATGTATTATTTTAATAATAAATATTAATTTAATTATTAATTTAAGTTTTGCTTAAATTTAAAATTTTTCTTTTGCTCATTTAAAATTTTTCAACAAAAAATCGACAAATAGAAGAATATCACTGCGAAAAAACTACGCTCGGATCAAAAAAACAAATAACCCAATAAAAAACAATAAAATCCATGATATGCGCTGGAAAAAATACTACAGCAATCGATATATATGATATATAAATCGGATGAATATCGCTAAATCATTATAAGCTATCACTCATTTGCAAGCCACTATCAGTTGTGTCGTTATCTTCCTCGAGCTGATGTTTCTTAAAATCTCGGCTTTTTTCGGACATTTCATTAGATGATGCGTCTTTCTGATTCAGCAGAATATCTTCATTGGTATTAGTTTCAGGTAATCTAACGGTCATATCTGTAATTAATGCTGTTAAATCCTCACTTTCGATGGAAACAGCATCACCACTTGTCACTGAGTGATGAGATCCAAAGGCGCCCACCTGGAAAATAAAAAATGCAAAAAAACGAGCAGTTATAGCTTAAGACGACTAAAGCATAAAGTTTTTAGAAGATTTAAAAGGAACTGCAAGAATCACCGAAGATTCCTCATCCAAATCACAGACCGAGCTTCCACGTAATTGTGCTTGAGTCCATTTTTCAGCTTTCTGAAAATTAAATTCTATTTTAAAGTTTTTACAAATTTTTTGAAGTTTTCACAAGAATTTTCAAGTTTAAAAAAAAAATCTAATTTGACGGAAATGAAGTGCTGCTTCCTTTATTGCTTCGCTAACTACTAGTTTACAATCGCATTATTTCTCGGAATTCAAATCGAAAAAAATCATACCACAACGAAAATTTCCGATAAAGAGGTGATAAGTAACAATAACCTTAAGTTCAAGTTGGGCGATAGTTTGCTTCAGATCTGCTATATGTTGCATTGCTTCACTGAATTTCAATCGTTGCATAACTGATTTCTCCTTCAATTCACTTTCAGCCTCAATTACTCGTCGACGTTCATCTTTCAGTGAATCCATTAGTTCTTTTTCTTTCTGAATGAAAGAAGAAAATTTTTTTCGAAAAAAATATCTTTTATTGAATTCAATTGTGTAGCACAATTTTCAATTGGCAGATAGTGCAACGAGTCTAAAAAAGAAGGAATAGTAAGGAGGAATCGTGTCAGATAAGATTTAAAAAAAATTTACTTGCAATATTTGTTCCTTCTCCTCTTTTAACTGCTTTATTTCTTGATCTTGTCGTTTTAACTGATTTGTTATCACATGATTCTGCAAAATCCTAAATGCATTAGCTGGATGAGAAGTAAAATTTTTCCAAAAAATTGAACTTCTACGAGAACCTATAGCTAATATTATATTAGCACTGACAATAATAGTAATGCTTTAAAAGAAATTTAAAAAAAAGAAAAAGCTTAAAAACAAACATTTGTTTCCAATTCCATAACCTTTTGTCGCATTTCTTTTAATTCAGCAACAGTATCAACTTCCCGAATTCGTATACCCATCAATTGATCTTCCAGATCGCGAACGGTATTAGCCTCTGGTAATATTTTCATGAAACTTCCACAAAAAAACTGAGGATAGCAAACAAAATTCCATGCACTCATTCAGTGAAAAAAATAAATTTCCTCAAATTCCTTATGCAAATTTTACCTTTCTTTCTTTAAAAATCTAATTGAAAGTGACTATGTTTCAAAATATAAATTATAATATTTATGGGATAAAACGAGGAAAGACAGAAATATAAACGAAAGAAAACGGAATAAAATGTCAATTTAATTATAGAAAACAAACCATTCTCACCGAGGCTTTCACTACTTTCTGAATTTGGCATACCGATTAAAGTTGCCTTCAGCTTGGCTAAACGTTGTCGAGCGCTTTGTGTGGCATTTGAATAAGTTTGAGCAAAACTGTGACTTTCTAAATTTTTAGTGAATTTAAAACATCCAAACTATTTTTTTAAAAAAACCATAAAAACTATAAAACTTTAAAAAACGAATATTAGAAATTCTGCTTCAGTAGCTTAAGGATACTTTCGAAATTTCCAACGTTTTGCTTCGAATGAGATCAAGCATCGGAATGTCTAATTTCAATCCCTTGATAATAACCAGATGGTTTTTTGTCGAAAAAATCTCCATTTAGAAGGATATGAAGACAGCCAAACCAGAAATGGAGAGTGCTACTTTTAGAATATAATATATACAACAATCCATAGCAGATACAGTGATAGCCTCTTATCACCAAAGGAAATTAAGGATATTTTCAGATCGTATTACTTTTTTCTCACATTATTTCTTTTTCTACGTATTCATTTGAAACAATAAATTAAAGGCTTAGGGAAAAATTCAGGGCCGTCTAACAAATAAGATTAGAAAAGCTTTTTATGATGAGGAAAAACAGCCTCAGGAGCCTCTATTCTCGAAAAATAAAGCATTTTCACCATTTGTTGCATATTGCTCTGCTTGGCTGGTATTTTCATTCATCGAAGATGATTTCTCTATTGCTTTAGGTGTACCATTTCCACCATAATTCTTAATTTGCTCATATTTCTAAAAAGAAAATTAGCTGATGAAATGATATTAGAATCATGCAATTCAATAAAAGCGAAAAATTCCATAAAATGGCTTTATCAAGACGATAAGACTGACAGCCCACTGAATTTCGAGTTCTGCAAGACGTTGCCGCATCTCTTTGAGCGATAAAGACGCTTCTGCTTCGCGCATTTTTGCAGAGATAAGTTCTTCTTGAAGGCCAGCGATGCCATTTTCAGGAGGTCGCTCTTTGAGTCGTTTATTTGACAATTCCAAATCCTATAAACACGATAATTTATCCACTAAATTAATGTTATCATTATTCAAATTTTTGCTAACAGCCAAAAAGTTTCCTTCGGCAATCGTTTCGAAAGACTAAACATGACAAAACCTGCACACGTTGCTTGAGTTCTTTGATAAGATTCTCACTATCAGCTTCTTTGATATGTGTCGCAATAAGTTCTTGTTGTAATGCAAGTATATGTTCGATCATCGAAGTGTCATCAACCTGTGTGCTTTTCTCAACAACTCCTTCATTGCTCTGTAAAAAAAAGAAATTTAATTGAAAAACATTAAAAAAGGCGAAGCGAAGATCAAATATCTACTCAACTAGTTTTCTGCAATAACAAATAATAAAATAAAAACTTATAAACCTACTATAAAGCAAATATTAAAAATTAATGATTCTTTAGAACTGATAAGTTCACTGCAGAAAAATTTTTCACAACCGCGAAATATTTGTTTTTGCAAAAAAAGAGAGATAAATATTATGCAAAACACAAACTTTACAACTGAGATCTCTAATTGTATCGTATGCTTCTTCAAGTCGTCGGTGTGCATCTGAATTGATATCGCGCAATTTAAGTAATTCGTTTGATATGCTCATGCAATTTTCCGTTTCCTGAGCTAAATTTACTTGGCCTCGTACTAAACGATCAGCCAATGCTGAACTTTCTTGTTCCAAGTAATCAATGCGTTGCCGAAGAAGGCGATTTTCTGTGCGTAATCTCTGAAAGAAATGGATAAAAATTTTTCAAAAAAGATTTTTTAATCTCTAATTTAACTCAAATTTTGAATTTTTAACTTTAAATAGCAAAATTTATGAAAATATTTTCAAATTTATTTTTAAATTAATTTTTAAATTTTTTAAAATTTTTTTTAAACTCTTAAGTTAAAATAATTAATAATTTTATTAATCTTTAATCTTATTAATTTTATTAATCTTTAATTTTATTTTTAATAAATAGTCCGACATAATGACAATTTTTGAACTATCATTTTTTCATGCAATCATTACGATCATTTTGAGCAATATAATAATATAATTTTCTATTAAGGATTAATCATATTCATTAATCATATATACTAAAACATATTCTGTGATAAAAGATAAGGCCGTAATAAATGGTATAACGAATTCCTCTATTATCTTTGTATGTATAAAAATTATCTCCACCAAACTGCAATATGTCAATCTTACATGAATCAACCTTACATGAAAGTAGAGACGAACCTTTGCTATCCAACGAAACTTTGGTAAATATTTTTTACGACAAAACTTCACTTTCATCATGTTTGTTATAAACAATTAAATGATAAGAAATATGAGGCAAAAATAATAATAAAAGTTCTTCTAGAAAGAAAAATATTGAATTCCATGGTAAAGAATGAAATTATTATTGAAACAATGGATTCAATAAAAAAAACGTTAGCAGAAAATAAGAATGGAATTTTAATTTTAAAAAACGATTTCATCTATTAAGAATTAATATACTTTTTTGCTACTTTTTTAAATACTTTTTTTTCTGAACAATCATTAACAAATGCTTATTTTATTTTAGTTCAAGGAAAATTTATAAATATCCAACAGTTATATAACTGCATAATTAAAAGTGGCTCATGGATACTATAGGGTCCTGTGGCCCAAATCATTTTTCAACTCGACTAATTTGAACAATTAGCAGGCTAGCCAAGTCCCAAGAATCGCACATCTTTATTTAATGTGATATTGCGAACAGCAGTTTATGCATATGGTGCTGCACTGGCTGAAATAATTACTACAATTCTTTAAATAGCCGAAATACAAAAAATCACCAATTTTAAACAAATATAAAGTAAATTAACTGAGCGATAATAAACAGGTCTTTGCACATATAACTCGTTTAACCATTAATTTACAGCAAACTTTTAGCAAAAAATTAAATAATTGGTTAAAATTGTAAAAAAATATGGTATTTTTAAATTATTAACATTCAAAGATGAAAAAATTGTTGATTATAAAAGCAAAAAATACCAAAAACAAAAAGTGGGAAAAAAATAAAGAAAAAAGTTCTATGATGGATGGCACCAAAAATAAAAAGAACCAGACAAGATCTGGACTGATATCGGAGGAGATTTCGAACGGTGCAGGAATATACCAGAATATACGATGGAATAAAGAATGGCATCAATTAGTTTATATGGCAAAAGGAAAGTTTAGAAACTAAGCTTAGAAAACTTAGTTACCTATAGTCACCACTGAAATCACCTAAATAAAGAATGGTGCAAGCTGTTAGCAGAAAAGATATAAAGCAATAAATCGCGAGAAAAATAGGCGACAGCAGAAGCGTATGAAAACAAAAAAATGATTAAAATAATATAAACAATGGAAAAAACACAGTAATAAACTTTTTGATATTTATTTAATTATTTATTTTCGGAAACTAAAAAAAGTCAATAAAAATTATTAAAACGATGGAATGAGGAGACAACTCGTCACTCATATCTTTTTATCAACAGTGATATGATAAATACCAACCAATGAAATGATTACGGAAAAAAAATTAAAAGTCATATGAAAGAAAAAAATAAAGAAGATCAACTGTGTCTACAGCAGATATAATCTATGTAAACTCAAAGTAACATATGTTCGATCCTTATTAAATGGGGGTGAAACCACGGTGACTACTTTGGATCCCAATTGCATCTCAATCAATCAATCTTCAATGAAAAGATCTAAAAATCAGATGAGCGAGAAATCGTAGTGTAAACCATTAGAAGAAGAATATGTAACCTAAATAATGCAAGAAATGGGAAAATAAGAGTATAAACTTGATCTGAAAAGTAAACGTATTCCTCAGTTCCTAGTATTATTATTTTTAATTAATATTATATTGACAAATTATAAAATTTAATGGCGAAAATCAAATATTTCACAGATGTTTCCACGTAATTTTTTTAAAAATATAACTGTTTCTCCAATATATATAACTCCAATATAACTGTTTCTTGATAATGGTACCATTTTAAATACTTTTTAAAAAATTTGCTTATTTTTTTTTTATTCATCGATTTAATTAAAAGAAACAAAAGAAGGAACAAAGAGGTGACAAAAGCGATTGAATACGCATTTTTACAAACAAATTTTCGTTAAAATTTCAGTTCATCGTCGTCAGTCGTCCACAACAGTTACTCAAAGGATTTATTTAAATTAATTACTTCAAATTTATTCCTATTTTGCGGGAGCATTTTGAAAAAATTTCAAAAAAATCGTATAAACAAATATTCCATGGCTGCATCAAGCAAATAATAAAATCATATTTAAGCATAACAGGTCTGCTTCCAATAGCACTCAACATTTCTGGTTGGCTCCATTGGCCCTTTTACCAGAGAATCATTTGGAATTAAAGGTGGATCCACACCATTAATAAGATTTTATTCATTCCACTTCTAATGGCAATGCTCTCGTCAAAGGTCAGAACAAATGGTGTTTGAACTCATAGCAGTAGTAATAATAGAAACTCTGTTATCCTATTTTTATTCAATGAATAATGGAAACTGTTTTACTAAACAGAAAAAAAATAAGTCGTTTTTACTGTTTTTCTAATGAAATGATAAAATAAAATAATAATAATCATACTCGTAATTCGACTGCCTCTTCTTGTTCTTTTGTTCGCTTTGCCAAATAATCCTTTTCAAGCCTACAAAAGGAGGAAAAAAATTTAGTTCAGTAAACTAGTTTCGGCAATTAATCATTTGGAATGCCAAACAGAACTGAGAAATTTTCGTAAATAATAAAAATTTGATTTCACATTAACAGAAATTCTTGTCAGAGAAACTTGCGAATAATTCAGCATTGTTAAAAAATCATTATTATGGACTCGATTCTTAAACATAAACCTTAATATGATAGAAGATTTTTTCTAAATTGTCTGAAATAACCAATTTAGACTATAATAAATATTTAACAGTCTTTAGTGGGCTCATATGGTGGAGGGTCGAAGTCGACTGATGAGCTGGTGAGATTCCAGCAAAACTGGCCTCGACAAGATATCTTCACCTGGAGTTTGCTCAATAATCCAGGAAGTTGCTTAAGTCCGATAAAATGAATAAGAATTTGTGACGTGTTTGTGACGTATCTGATTTAAGTCTCTGATACAGAAAATTTTGAAGAATAGGTTCGACTTTCTACCTTAATAACAGCAAACCTCATTAAAAATTCAAGGAGGTGTTGGCAATGAACCCGTTTTTCTTATCGTCAAGTGATTCCTTAGCAAAAATTCTCGCACTACAAGCCAGAGAAGTTAGTCTAGCCAGAAATGGAATGTGCTAACCATCAAATAAACATTTTATAATTTTTTTTTACATAATAAAAATTTGTCTAAAAAAGAGTCAGTAGAGCCACTCTAAGTTTAAATAAATAATTTTTAAAATTATTTTAAAAATTACTTTTTCATTTTTTTATAATTCAGCGTAACTTGAGATGCAACAACGAAAAGTAAATCGTGGTCATTTTCGAATCGTTCACGAATTTCTCGTTGAAAATACTAAAATGTTAAATTAAATACAATGTATAAAATACAATATTAAAAAGAAACAATTCTTTTCTAAGAAAATGATAAAAAAATGTTTCAATAAACTAACAGTCTCAACCACTGATATAGTATCAGTGATAAAAAACTTAGAACTTAGCCAAACTTAATGTTATCATAAAAATTGGTTGTTATGAAAAACGAAGCAGATAAAAATAAGATAAAACGAAGACTTTAAGCATTCCTTCCATATCGAGCTTCAAAAGATCGATACGAGCTTGTTGTAGTATCGCCAAAGATATTCGAAATATACATTCCATTCCCTGTAAATAATGCAAATTAATCAGTACAAGGGATTTCCAAATCCCTTGTAAAAGCAATCAGGAAAAAGGATATTCGCTAAAAGAAATGAAACGAATTACAATAAAATTAAAAAAATACCTCAACAAGAAAAAGATCCATAATACGATTTGCCAATTCTAATGGTAAAGAGGTCGTGAAAAGTGTTAAAAACCAACTGCTAGCATACATACTCGTATCAAAGCCCATATTATTAAAATGCGTATGAAGATCAGGCATTTGTTCCTGAAATTAAATTTTTAAGAGTGAAAGGACAGCGAATTCGCTTGTAGCAAATCGTTTCTGTCAAATCAAAAACCTGAACAAGGCACTCCAGTTGAAACATGCATAAACCTAGTTCAGTCATTGTTGGCTTATATAAATCTCGTAAACGAAACTGTTCCATCAGTCGAATGAAAACAGCGAATGCTTCTTCCTCAGGCATCTGAAAATTCAAAAAAAATACTGTAAACTGGGAACCATTGAAATGCAAAAAACAGATTGGATGGCGAAGAGAGAAAATGGTTAGCGTACAAATAATGTAACTATTTTAAAAAATAAAATATTCAAAAACGAAAACAATTTAGAGAAATTATTTGAGGAATTAGCAAGAATTCGTTAAAAAATAGATAACCTGTAACAACAATTGACCGACAATAAATGCACTTCCTTGGCAATAGCCAACTTCTTTATCATGTACACTATATGCCTTGATAACATTGAAAAGTGATTGTTGACCACGACCATTTTCTTTAAAAAATTCGAGTTCTGGATAGGTTCGTGGAATATCTCGTAAAATTACCTGCAACTTTGATTTAAAGCACATTAATGGAAATGGAAATAAACTGCACCTTAATCCCTAACGGACAGGTGAAAGATGAAAAAAAAGAGACAGGCCACTTAACCAAATGCTGTTTCCCAAATGAAATTGCTTATTTTATGCAAGTGACCTATAAATAAAATTAACGTCGATGGTACTTAAAATAGAAAGTATAGAAGTTTTCTCAGAACCATAAGCAGTAAACAAAAAAATTTATTTATTCAAAAAAACCTTTTCATATGGTGAACTTCGTCGTAAATATTCCGAATAATTATCGTGAATTGATGATACCGTGGCGTTGCTTAACAATTGCCATGCAATCGTACGAAAGTGTTGTGGAATACCACGGCGAGCCAAATCCTTCAATTATTAGGATCGATTTATCTTATAACGAGGATAATAGAATGTGTGGTATATAGCAACAGAAAAAAGATAATATAGACGAAAAAAAGTGAACTTTTATGAAATTCGGCCTTTTCCGACTTTCAGTCTCCCAATTTTTTATAAGATTACCCCATAATGCCCATAAATCGAGATCTTCATCATCTTCAGGTTGAACACTATTCTGTCGTGACTCACTTGATCTAAAAAAATCAAATATAATAAAAAACCTGGATTGTTCTGCTTTTGGTTATTTTCAGTCAAAAATTTGCCTTATATAAATTTCTGTACGATATTTCATTGTTATTTGATGATTTTCAATATAAGATAACCTCATGTCTTCATGATAACTTCACTTCTAACGCTTATTTTTTTGCATATCAAATTTGAAAAGTGAAAAAGTGAACCTTGTGCCAGTAACATCAGTATGTGCACCTGAACTACTTGATCCACTCTTGAATGAAGCAACTGATCGAGAATCTAATTCATTTGAACTGAAAAGAGTAGCCACTGATTAAACGCTGCCTATTCCTATAGCAATGAGCCTTTAAAAAAACAATAACAATACTAAAACTAAATAGGCAACATAATATGCGTAAACCAGCTGCCATTAAAATCCATGAAATCTAGAAACCTATTCACACCCCTTCTTAACCCGTACGATTCTTCTTATCGATATGGTATCTGTTTTTAGAGGAAAAATTGTGCAAAAATAGGTGGTAGATAAATGGTTCGGCTGGCTAGCAACCGAAATTTTAGAAATTTTCGCCAGAGAATCACTAGGAAGTGGAAGTATAGGTGGATCAGCAGCAGCACTACCAATCATAGATTTACCCCGCACGAGTCGAACCCTCTTGCCTCCCAATACGATAATCTAATATCCACTCTCCACTCCTACGCTAAAAGACTTAAAGTAGATTAGATCAACTTATTTACTTACTTATAACTTATTTATTTAGATAAAAAAATGATTCGAAACATCTAAGTATGGATTAAATGGCAAACTTATTCATTTGTTGCATTTTATGCAGAAGTAATACCGCTCGAGCGGATACTTCCTCTTTACATTCACAAAAATATTCTTCTCGAGACGGTTCGTTGTCGTTGTTCCTTTCGTTATTTTTAACTAAAATAAATTTCCATGATGAAAATCTATAAAATAATCGTATTGAGGCAATGGTCGCCGAATGTAATTTATGTCGCCGAATAAGGTTTATTTGCCTTTAAAAGATTTATTTTATAATTGAACTCAATAAATAAACTATAGGGGAGCTGATTGACTCACTATAATATACAGAAATAAATAGGTACAATAAAAGAATTTATGTATTCAAAAGGGGACATATAATGAATAATAGATAGGTCAACAAAAAAGATAAAGAAAGCTATCGATAAAGAAGATATTGTGTTTCAACAAGAGAAAACATGTGCATGTGTGAAAATATGTTTTAAAAATATCAAAAGATCCAGAAGCTAGGAGAAAATCTTGGCAAAATTCATGCAACTGTGGTGACAAATGGTGGAAAAATGGTCAAATGTGTTATTGCCTAAATTACATCAAGCATTACGGTTCGCCTCTTATTACTTGCAATAGATTTCAAGGCAATCTATACCATCTTATCATCTTCTGAATGATTCTCTCATAAAATTACCTCATTCTATTAACTGGGCTAATTAGACTTAGTGATTTGAGCCTAATTCACCAAAAAGAATTTTATCCATTAACTTTTTTTCAGTTATGATGGAAGAAGTGGTTTGATTTACTTGTAATAGTATGAAAAGTTTGGAAACATCTTATTCTAAGAAGAAAGTGGAGTAATCAAGTCAAGTCAATGTGAGTTATTAGAAGGTGTGATAAAAGATAAAAAATAATCTTATCAGTGTCTATATAATATGGACAGAATTTCCTCTTATTAGTAAAACGAATGGAACGGATGATGGAACTATTTCATTTTCATTCCCTGTACATTTTTTCCTGAAGAATTATTAATGCAATAATACAAATTGATCGACAATTGATCGGTGGTGACATCGATTTGTTTCCATCAATCGTTAATCATAAAAATAAAAATAAATTTTTTTCCTATTTTAATTATGAATAAAGCCATATAATAAAATTCAAATATGCGTATATATGTTTAAAATTTAAATGCGATAATTTGATAATTATATATATTTATATATATAATTAAATATTTTTAACTGAAATGGCTTTAAAATCAAAATCAGTGATTATATACAACATTAACCGAAACAATGATAATTGTTAATGATAAATGATAATAATGATAATATGTGGAACATTTCTTGCACTTTTTTTAAACTGAGAAAGATGAGATAATAATGATAGTGAATAATAATGATAATGAGATAATAATAGTGATAAATTTATAATAATTGTGATAAAAATAATAATGATAAATTTCAATTTCAATGAGCAGCCTTAATAATTTATTTTAAATTTTATTTTAAATAAATATAAATAAATAATAGATTCCCAAAGTTTTTAGATCAAAAAATAAGCTAGATTAACAATAAATTTTCCAGTCTATATATGTATATATTTAATAATATGTAAGTGTTGTTATTATGCCATTAATATCCGCTTATCCACTCCTATAATCCCTCAATATTCCTGATTTCCCTCAAAACCCCAAAACCCTGTTATAGTTGATGAGTGGAAAGAATGGGCAAAACTAAGGAACCATGACTCTCATGACTTGATGCATTCACATTCCTATAAGTTCTGTTGCATCTCTCCAACATCTCCTTAAATCTTTCTTAAACCTTCATTATAATCCTTAAATACCTTAAAGAACCTTTTATAGTCTTAAAATTTTTCAACCATCGTATTCCTCATAAAGCCTTTTATGAAATACTCTAAATATCAGATGAACTTTTAAAATCCTCACAAACAATGTATATTCATCAAATCCCATCATGCACTTCACTGAGAGTTGAGAATTGCTCTTTTCAAATCCTGTTAATCCTCTTTACACTCTTTCATACTATACTCCTTTTTGCCTTCTGTTTGACTAAGCAGTTTTCTTTTCGTCTCTCGTTTTCGTCAATTTAACCTAATTACAGTTCCATGGTTTGATAATATAAATCTTGTCAGAGTTACTCTTTCGTCCTATTTGTCTACTATAAATTATGTAATTATTATAAATGGGTGTGATTAGTGCTAAAACTGATGCTATTAATACTAAAACTTAGGTAGAACAATAAATTAATTTATTAAATTTATTGATTGTAATTAATTTAGAAAATTTTTTTTTAATTGATGCATTCTGCGAAAAATAAAGAATTTATATCAAATAATTAAAAAATATGCAATGAAAAAATAAAATGAGGAGATAATGATAAGGTGATAAAAGATGAAAATGAGAAAAACTAAGAAAAATATGGGATATTTGAAAGGAAAAAGTAGAGAGAACTATAGGAATAAGAAGTCTATTTTTCCAAAGATAAAAAATAAATTGTATGAAAAAATTTTTTTTAATTTTTTAATTTATTTTTTTAAAACTATAAAAACATTGAAATGAACCATTAGATTCTCATTTTTATATAATTTATATCAAATTTCCCTACCATATTGGAAATTTAAATTTCATCTCGCTTATAACTTTCCGGACTTCACTTTTTTCTCTCAAAAAACTAACCATTCACTTGGTTTTTCATTTATTCATTTCGTATTAGAAAATTTAAAAAATTGATTGGAAACAAAGGAAGCAAAAGAATTTAATTTGGACGAGTGAAATAATTTCCACAATTATTATTAATGGTTAATTCTACTGGTAAAAAAAATATATATATATAAGATTTATATAAATTAGGTTTCCGGTCAGGTTAGCTCCAGTGAGTATAAGTACGACGAGAAATTTTTGACATGGAGCCCAACAGTGACAAAAACATGAAAAAATCCTCAGCACCAGCCGGATTTTTCAATGATGATCGAGTCAATAATCTAAGCAACGACTTATTCCATTCGGCTATTCTATCGTCGGATAATTTGATCCCAATAAAATGGTATAAAAGCAATTTTTTTAAGTTTATTAGTAAAAACATATAAATTTAAACAAAAATAATTTTGAAGGATGAAATATAGAAAGCAAAAATGCAAAAGGTGGTTAAAAAATTGCTTACTCAATTGTATTTTAATAAATTATGAATTCAATTCGTCAAATATTCCCATCACTTTAGCCAAATTAGCCAAATTTATTAGACTATTGGCTTTTTAAAAAATTTTTTTAAAATAATAGTAAACGATTTATCAAAGAAAAGAAAAAGAAAGTAATGTTTTCAACTTCTACAGAAAGAGAAAGCAATGTAATATGTGTTGAACTTGAACGAATGAAAGAAAGCATATTTGTGGTATTTTTTATGGATTTACAGCATATGATCACTTTCAAGCATTGGCTAAAGCATTTAGCTTAAAAGAATTTTAAAGAAAACTCAGAATGAAATATAGCTAAAGTAGGAGGAAAAAAAAGGAAAAATAATGACAAAAAAACGAGTTTCCTAGAATTCCTTACCGATGACAAAACAAAAAACCTATTGAAATATTAAGCATCATTCATGGAAGTATTCCTTTGTTGGGAAAAGTCAACTAGGCATTTGTTGATTAAAAAAAAATTGGCAACATAAATAACCATAAAAACCATAAAATGGAAATTTTTAAAATGGAAACAAACGATTAAATAACGATGCAGTTGAAAATAGAATAGTTAAGTGGTATGCTGGCTCGTTCGAGCACCACGAAGCAAGCGATACATCTTCAACGATACATAAATGCGATTAAAAGTGAAGTATCTCTTATAAAAGTCTTTCATCTTGTTAATAAGACAGAAACCAGGCAAATCAGAATTGATGAATGCTGAATACAAAATTTACAAAATTTACAAAATGATAGACGAGAGAATGAATATTTTGAAGGAGTTAATGATTGATTAACCGTTGCCATGACGAAACTGCGATAAGCACAATCCGATGAGAGGATATAGGCGATTGGGAAGAGATTAAAATAAATTGAAAAATTTATAGTTCACAATCAACTGAGCTTTAATGTGATACTCATGTGAAGAGGTGCAGCTGGTCTCCTAAAACGAAACACCAAACACCATTTCTGGTTTGGCTGTTTCCACTGAGCATTGAGTATTGAGAAGAGACTTTTCGTTAGAGAATCATTTTCAATGATATATTTATTCATGCTAGAATCAGCCAAGAATCTAGAATCAGCCGAGGAAACGTTATGCTCCAGTACGCTTTATTTTTCACAAAGTTAAGAGGGAAATACAAAAAGTACGCCTGTAAGGAAATTAAAGAGTGTGTATGCTACATGAAACAGAAATTTAAAATCTTTGTCTTCGAGTTCCATCAATCTTCGGCAGAATGTGCAAAAACGAAAAAAGCCAACAATGAAACAAATGCTAGTAGGAGCAACGGTTAATGGAGAATCAATTATCCAAGCAATAATCTCCAAATAAAATTCTACAAAATCTATAAAATATTCGAAATCTATAAAAATTCGAAATTTGTATCTAAAATACGTAAATCATCCAATAAATCCTTAAATTGCTTTTTGTAAGAATTGTTGTTTTATTTCTGGTAA